GTAGTACCAGTTATTGCTTTATTAGTACCTGTTTTTTGTAGAAAGAACAAAAAAAAAGCAGGTACTAATTGATCAACAACAGGTACTGGATAAAAGAAAAAATGGTATTATTTGTGGTAAAACCAATATTGTTCCATAAACCATATTCTACAAAATCATATTGCATAAACCATATCCAAACATCATCCACAGACAAAGCAAATATCAACCAAACAACCAAACAGTTATTGTTCAAATTCAAAAGACAAATTGTTCACAACCAAGACATATTGTTCAAACCATCATCCAAACAGTCAACATGAAGGAGGATTTCTGAGGATGCGAGCTGCCATGCGTGCTCGATAGCCGTCAATCGAACAACTATAATGGGCCTTCCAGAATTCAGGCGAATCGACGTCGTAGCACTCCATATCCAAGCATATGTGCACGCCACAGTCCTTGAAACCGACCTGCTCCCTGAGGTATCCGAACACAAAATCCTTTTGACGAATGTCCATTCCACGAACATGCTTATTCAAATAATATCCCATGCACTTGGCCTACACATTTTAAAAAATAAGGAGAAAACAACAAAATACGTTTATTCGAAAGAAAAATAACCACTACAAAACAAAGTTTTATATGTCATAATACCACTTACCAAGCTTTTCCCAATCCCTCGATACGCCGCATTATCCATCGAATTATGGTACACAAACTTCATTTCAGGAATGTTAAGGACAAGAAGGTAGAAGTGAATTTTTTTCACCACGGGAAAGAAAACATATTTGGCACCATTCAAAGACCTCATCATTTCATCAAGCACCGCAATAGTACTTCTACTAAAAGTAGAAGCACACGCCTCATAATCCTCCTTCCGAGGAGGTCTATGCTTAATTTGTTCGATTGCACTCACCACATCACTCTACAAATTCAATAGTTTTTTTAGCAAATTAACAATCAACAAAATTAATAGATAGAGTATATTTAAATACCAGGTACCTGAACATATGTCGGCAAAAATCGGATATGAGGATGACAGCCACGCAGGATAGTCATATAGCAATCAATGAGTGACGAATTCAACTCCGACCCGAACAAAAGAGAGCACATCGATTTACCTCGGACCACAACTCGGTCATTGCTCCACACTATTTTGCTACCAAAATTTTGTAATTTAAATTAGTATGATATAATACAAATTAAAATAATTAACGTCATTTCTGTTACCTCAATTGATCGCTTGCCAAAAATGACCGGATGACTGCAACATCCTCTTCCGGGACAACCCCGTGTCCACAGAAATCCTCTCTGCCCCTGTATTCATTCAACGAACAATCCTCATCGTCGTCATTCTTGTCACTCTCCTACATTACAAAATGATTACTTATTTTTATGAAAACAACACGAATAATCACATGAATTACAAACATAAAAT